CCGTACTCGATGCAGGGCCGGAATTGGAGTGGTTGAGTGGTCCCACAATATAATCTCTATAAACATAAACTCCTTTACTCACCGTACAAAAGGTCTAACATCTCCTTCATTGGCGGTTTGAAGATGCTGGTAATAAAGATGCCTATGCTGTTTGGCTATGATGACGGGCGGGTATCCCGCCTGCATGAGGAGCAGGTTCATGAGCAGCCGCGACGTGCGCCCGTTGCCGTCAATGAACGGGTGGATGTACACCAGTTTATAGTGCGCAAGTGCAGCATATCTGGAACATAATAGTTTGAATTAAGACTGGTTTAGACTTGCACTTGTAATGGTTAAGGAGAGATGTAGATAATACACCGTTATTTTAGGCATGCGTGCTAGCTAGCTAACTTAGCTAATGCACTAGCATTAGCTAATAGCTCACTAGAATTATCAATTTTTTTTTTCCACATAATTCACACTTCCAAGGGTCTGAACTGAGGGTCGTATTCCAGAACTCTACTCAATACTCAAGTCAGGACTTGCGTATTGCAGTGAGCACTGAAAATCATACTCAAGTATGCTCAAATCCTGACTTGAGCATTGAGTAGAGTTCTGGTATACGAGCATTACTGTCTTTGTCTCTCTTCAAATGTCTGTATTCACCGTTAGCGAGAGGAATGGCTAGCTCCTAAATATTCATAAACGTAAAAAGTTGCATAGGGACTCAGAAATTCGTTAAACGGTGCTGCCCCCGTAGCATAGCTACGCATGATAGTCGCGACACGCGCGATAAAATTGGAATAATGTCTCAGGGTGACAGGCGCAGTGGCAGTATCTCTCAGATTTTTGCGATTTAGTCCAGGTCAAATTCAAATAATCATTTATTCCATAGGTAAAAAAAATTGTACATTTGAAAACGTCATTTTTAAGCTACTGCTCGTACACTACACTGACCTCCCTGATAGAAACGAGCAAGTAACTCTAGGGATTGCTCTTTTCAAATAAACTTAAATGCTATACATTACATTTTGAATCATATTTGTGTGGTATTAGACTCGTGTTGTTTTGCCATACATCTTTATCTAACATATAGTCTAGAATTTTGTAATATGTAAACTTACAGTTAAAGTTAAGAAATGGTAATCTTAATATATGCTCTAAATATATTTAAAGCTCTGAGTGGCAATGCAACTGGTAAGAACAGGTGCTTTTGCTCAATTGAGAAGCAATCATACTCTTCGTGAAATTACAGTCATAAATAATATTACTAGTTGAAATATGGCCGACGTTTTTTGTTACATTCTGTTCATCACATACGGCGCCATTTTTTTAAAATAACTCTCGACTACCAGAATGAACTCTATTACTATACATATAGTTGGTAATTGGCTGGAGGAGTAACTATTTGACAATAGTAAATATTCATTCTTTTGTCGATTGTCGTCAATAGGCATGTTTTGCTTCATATTTGTTTAATTTAATTTTAAAATATTATCTTTTCAAACCTAAATGATATTTCAATCGCTCGTTAACAATTATTTACTTATGTATTTATAACACGTCGATTAGTATTATTGAAGCAAAAACATTCCACACATAATGTTTAATAAAAACAATAGCATAAATTATCAGTTTATTCAAACATATGCCTACACTTTTGCGCACCAAGGACCAGGTAGCACATCATATCTTATCATATCAACGTCAATCGTAATAATAAATGATCATGACAAATTAAACTATTTATGCGCTTCAGATGTATTTTATTATGCTTTATGAAAATCCAAAGACTAGGAGCCAGTTTCCTGGTTGCATTAGAACCCAGGCTAAATTCACACATGCACATTTAACGCTCTATGGTAACAATGGTTACTGGGCTTGAAGTCTAGATCTTGGGAGCCATCAGTAGTGAAAGAGCATAGATAGACATCTGACATTAAAGATTTTAACTTTTATCAGTTAAACCCTGACTATGGAGCAGGAAGCCGCTCTTAAATACCAGAGGTTGAACAAAATTACCAATAACTGAAGATAATTGTTCAGAAAATGTCATTTTTAAGGTATGTATTAATGGAACAATGATGATTGTTACAATTAGTTACTGCTCTGCTGGGTGTAGGATTCATCTAAGAAAAGAGTTTGGACCATAATTTCCCAAAGAGGTCCCTAACCAGTGGGCGCTGAAGAGTCCTAGATGGGGGAGTTTTGGGGAAGGGACCACGGAAGTAATTGTTGGGCATTGATGCTGCCCAGGGTGTGGCTATCGCATTTGAAAAAACCTGAATAATCTATATAAACTACACGACATGTATATTTTTCCTTGTGATTTTTTGTGTTAAGTTAATATAAAAAATACATGTTTTCAATTATTTTCAGTGGTGGTGGGCGTTGCAATTTTTTTATCTTGCCTAAGTGGGTTGTGAACCCAAAAGTTTGGGAACCTATGGTTTAGTCCAGGGGTTGGCAATCTTTTGAGTTGGAAGTGCCATCCATGACTTAGAATTTACAAAATTTCACAGTTTTTAAAGAGTACACTACAATTTTTCTTTCCTACTAATATTGTAGTACTTGCTTATATAAAAAGATTTTTGATTTAAAATAAAAAACTTGTAAATAAGAAATAATATCTATTTTTTCATAGATAGTATTTTTTTCACAACAAATTAAAGTATTTAACTAGGAAATTAAAATAATTAAATAATATAACTACAGAATTGAGTAGTAAATCAATGGCAGCATTGGTTTTGCACGCCTTTTGAAGGTTTGTAACTCAAACTAGTTGTTTTAAGTTTCAAACACGACTCTAGGTTTTTGTTAGCTGGCTTATTATATTGATTTTTTATGAATATATCATGCAAGAGAACACTTGCGTATGGAACTAAAGAGCCGCAACTTCACATTGAAAGAGTTACATGCGGCTTGTGCAGGTTGCCAACCCCTGGTTTAGACCATAATTCTTCACACTGCTTCAATTTTGTTTGGAGCAGTAACTACTAATTCAAAGTACGAGTAGGACCCTGCCCCCACCACAGGCAAAATATCCACATGCCCATAGAGTTGCTCCCACCAGCCCGTTACACCATGTCATACCATAATACTTATTAAAAACTGCCATATATTTTACAGCCAAATAACAGTAGGCTTGCAACAGTGTAGTAACACCCTTATTCAAGTTAAAAATGACTAAAAAGCTACAACAGACATGTACATTATAATGCACCTAATAATTGAACTTAAGTTTACTTCGAAAACAATAGTAGATTGTACTACAGTAAATAAACATTGCAATCGTACTTACCTCACTGGATGTAAGTCTAAAGCATCTTCAGAATTTAACCAATCTAGGAATTGTATCATTAACTTTTGTATGTCTGTAGGTCCAGGGGGAATGTGACCTCCAACGTAAACCTGAGTTCTTCGGAACTGACCTCCTTCTACTGGATCAACATGCCCTAGCACTCTTTTATGAATTTCTAAAATGTCCCCCATAGTAATGTCTCTCAAACGGTACAACAATGTTGAATTTATATACTTCATTGCTGCATCTAAGCCCAGAATCTCATTGTGTTCGTCAATACTTTTCCCAGATATAGCTATTCGAGTCTCTAAAATACTTCTTGTTTGGGATAATGTCATGGTATTGCCTTCTATAGCAACTGTGTGATAAATATGTTGGAAGTATGCCTCTTTCTTGGCTCTCCGTAATGCAGCATTGCTTTCAGGTATTGACAGCAATGCTTCCCGTTTTTCCTCAATTTTTCTTAACATTTCTCTGTCCAAATTTTCAACTATACTGGCTGTGCGTTGTCTGTTTGATAATGCTCCAGAATGATCAGGATAATTTGTTAATGCTAGGGTATATAGTTGATCTGCCTTTACAACGTCTTTTTTTGTATCTTCTAGAAACTCTCCATAGTGGTTTAACACGTCAGCGTGCTTCGGAGATAGTGCAAATGCATGTTGGAAAAGTTTTAATGCTTTATCTGCTTTGCCGTTATTTTTCATCTCTAACGCAGCGTTGAGAGACACCACGGCTTCGGCATCGTCAGCTCTGTCATGCTGTTTCGGTGTAGAAACTATGGGAACACCTTCATTCACTGGCTCTAAATGATAACCGTACAATCCCGCGGGGATAGGCGAAAAAGGCTTCGTATACCGTACCTCATATTTTAACAAACTGTGCAAAGATATCACGACAGCGAGCGTGCACACTATACTAGACAATATAATTACCGTTTTACACCGATCAAGTATCATTTTTGTGTTTAAATCCTGTTTAATACAACCATTTGAACACTTCATGTTTATACTTCTTCGACGCCTACCCATGAACAGCATGACTGCTAGGACTGATCAAACATGTAATTGTTGATAAAATCTCCGAGTTAATCACTGTGAATGATTTAGATTCCATCGCGTATTGCTAAATTATTGCTACATGCAAATAGCAAAAAACCACGTAAGGCCATCGCTGATCGGGTGACACAGTGACAGATGTCAGATGACAGCTGATGTACGTACCGTTCCTACAACGCAGTATTTTAAAGAAACTTTATTTTATGTTTCAATGTGGTATAACGTATAATGGAATGTATTTATGAATTTATTTATTTGAATGGACCCTTAGATTAGCTAATGGCATTATAAACGGCCCATTCACACCTCCATGGCAGTCCGCCGCGCAGGCAGGAAACTGCTCACACACTATCCTCCGTATGGCCCATGTATAGAGTCTCGCAGGACGCATTGCAGGGTTGCAGGATGGCTTGCACACAGCGACTATATTCATAATCCAGCATTACGCGACAGACGGCAAGGCGGACTGCAATGCGGGATAATGAAAACCCCGTTTAAGCCTTTCTGATGACTATATCCATTTACGATTTTTAAGTCTATCATTAGTAGGTATTAAATAAGACAATATTACATATACTACCTACGTTGCTCTGAAAGCACTATTGTGTCTTAGAAATCCAAAAAAACGACGGTACCTACCACAAATCGGAAAAAACGACGGTCACTCGTTTTTCCTCGCGCCGCCGCCGCCGACAAATGCAATCGGCGCGCTGTTCAGTTCGATCAGGCGCTCCGATCGTACGCACGCGCACGCTTCCGTATTGTGTATGTGAAAATGGCGACGCCAGAAAATGACTTTTAAGATATTTATTCTAACTTTTTTTTAAATGTAGGGGAGCGTGGGGGAATGGGAGCCTACTAAGGAAAATTGACAATAAAAGTCATAATTTAGGTAACTTTAAATTTTTATTAGTTATGAACGTACGCTTCACATATCTGGGTACTAGATAATCACAGAAAAAATATGAAACTAAAATAAAATATTTGGTTAAAAAAGAAAAAACTAAAACATGTCATTCGCTCTCATTACCCCACATTTCGTGAAATGGGAGCCGGTAGGAATCCCGTATGTCAAATGGGAGCCATTATATATAATCAGTCTGAAAAAAAATTAAAGTAATAAAATATATATATAAGTTAAAAAGTAATGAAAATAAACAAGAAAGTGTTAAAGAAATATCCAGTGAATATTGCAATGGGGTAAGGAGAGCCAAATAGCTCTCATTACCCGCGTAACATCGAATTGAAAAAGGAATAAAACAGTAAAAACATTTTTGTTTTTATTGTGATTTCAAGCATAACTTCTAAAATTTGATAGATATGGTGACATAGCTAGTGTAAATACAATGTAGTATCTATGCATTTTAATGCCTACCTGGGATGATGAAATTTAGCAAATTTTATAAGTGCGTAGCGAAAAACACACAACCCTCTCATACGACTAAACGCGGGGTTCTACGGGGGCGCCCACGGGACTCGAATCTTGTCGAACGTTAACGAAGATATAGGAGTGCCGTTTGCACAAATACGAGCATTGGGAAAGTCCAGTTTAACACCGCTCTCATTACCCGCGGGCTCCCAATACCCCACGTTCCTCTAAGTTCGCATTTGACCTCCATCTCACCTGATGGAAAGTGACGATGAGGTCGACGATGGATGAATGCCTATTCACTTTCGCCATGAAAACTCCCAAGTTATAACGTTCAGGGAACAAGTCTGCAGACAGGGAATTCCACTCCATGACCGTTCGCCACATAAATGTGGAACCGTAACGCTTCGTCCGAATCTTTGGAATATCCACAAAATAGAGGTGAAACCCAAGTCTACGCCTAGTCCCCCGGTGATGGAAAGGGGAAAACGGAATTAAATAGTGTAATTCCATCGCACACTCTCCGTGATATATCGTATAAAATTCCGATAAGCTGGCAACTTTACGGCGGTGTTGTGCAGCTTCGCCTCCACTAATTCCGAGTCACCCATAAGCTTCTTGGCATGGTTGTCAATTGAATCCAAGGTGGCCAGTTGGTATGTAGCAGAGCCATCCTAAAGGTGGCAGTACTACTCCATGCACGACCGGATTTGTGCTTGGTACAGCTGAAGCAACTGTCCCGGTGTGTGTCCCCCTGTCTACTGACCCGAGAGATACGGTTGTCAGGAGAGATTACGGGCTCGACGGCTAGACCGGGGTACAGCGGGCGTTCGGGCCAAGCCCTCCGCCAGAGATACGCCTTTACGTCTCTGGCGGACCCGGACTTGGGCATAGACTTGCGGACACTGCGTCTGGCATGTCAAGCTAGATATCCTCCGATCCCTCCAGCCGCTTAGATTATTGGGAACTGGAGAGACGTCGTTTTTCGGCGTCGGGAAGTGAGCGTGCCTTACAGCTCCGCCACCAATGAAGAGATTTGGTAGTGGACTCAGAGTCGACGGCTTAGCGGTGGCAACTGCAAGTTGTAGTCCTTCTCGTATAATAAGGGTAGGTATAGAGGGTCACTATAATCAAAACTAACGTAGAAAGATATGGTGCTCGTCCCGGTGTGAAGTAACGCCTCACCCTGGAAAGGATACCAAGCTTCCTTGCTGCATGTTTGGTCATGGATTCAACGTATCTGCCGAAGTACAAATTGGACGACAGGTCCATTCCAAGTACCTGGAGACAGTCGGCTATCAGTATGGATATATCACGAAAAGTCGGAGTCAGCTCAAAGGATCTCCGTTTTGTGGAGAATAGACACGCCTGCGTTTAGTAGCGTTAAGTACCCTTCTGAGACCTCTTGAATCGAACGTTCGCTCAAGAAATCCGAGATCCAATTGCAAAGTGGGAAGCCCATAAAAGGTTTGCGTGCCAGACCCTGTCAAAGGCTTTAGGAATATCCAAAGACACTGCAAGTGCTTCACCTTGCTTTTCTATAGCCTGGCTCCATATGTGACAGGAATACACAAGAAAATTCCCAGTTGATCGCCCTCCTCGGAATCCGTATTGGCGATCACTGAGGAGGTCGTTGTCTTCAAGGCACGACAAGAGACGGTTGTTGAGTACACGTTCCATAGTCTTGCAGAGTATGGAAGTAACTGAGATAGGTCTATAGTTGTCAGAGTCAGCTCTGCTTTCCTTTTTCGGCACTGGTTGCACGTTTGCAAGCTTCCCCGACCTGGGAATTACACCAGTCTCAAGTGAGAGGCAGTACAGGCGTAGGCGTGTAAGAACAGGAGACAACTCAGGCACACAGTTACGTAGGACTAGTGCTGGAATTCCATCTGGCCCGCTAGCTTTATTCACGTCTAGATTCCGCAGAGTTCTAGGTACCTCTTTTTGGCGTATGCGAATTGGCGCCATAGTGCAGCCAACCTGAGGTAAAATTAGATCCAGACGCGAACTCTTTGCAAAGAGTGAGGCAAAAAGATTTGCCTTGCTTTCTGCAATGTAGGCCAGCGTGCCGTCCGGCCTCAGCAGAGGTGACATAGATAGGCGACAAAAATTAGTTAGTGACTTTATATTTAAAGATGTTTAGTTTAAAAAATTTATTTGTCAATGTCTGGCGTCGCCATTTTCATTACGCATACACAATATGGAAGCGTGCCCGTGCGTACGATTGGAGCGCCTGATCGAACTGATAAAGATTTGATTATTATAGAAAATACGTTATTTTATTTTTTCCTTTGAAAAATTTGTATAACGGTTTTTGTAAAAACAAACACCGATGTACAAATTCGTTTTAGGTCGCGCTCGCGCCGCCGAAACGCCGCCGCCGCCGACACTTTTTTGTCGGCGCGCCGCCGCCGGTTGGTCTATTATCGGCGCTCATGTCTACGGTACGAGTAACTACGCAGGTCCGAGACAACACAGAAAGGTTAGTTTTTGTACATTGCCCGGTCGGGAATCGAAGGACCGGGACCTCAGAGGTGGCGATATCATAAAAACCGGTGTGCGAGCCACTCGACCACAGAGGTCGTCAAATTAAAATAGAAATTTACCTATTCGAAAAGTTTGTCCCTGATGTTAAATGTTTTTAGGTTGATTTAAGAGTAATAAGCCTTATAAAAAGAAAATAAATTTAGTTTTGCACATCTGATCGAATAATAATTGCGAATTAACATTATTTTTTGGGACAATATGTGGAACGGCACGTTCATTATAGGTACTTACGTTAAGACTGTTTAGAATCCAAAGTTCAAAACGATCTAAAATGCTGTTAAATGTATCGTGATATTATTTATTGTGTTCTTGATTCATCTGCAGTGCTAGCATGACAGGGCACAACATGTGCGAGAAGCGACATGGAGGCGCGAGATATTGATATATTCCTATGTTGCGAATTGTAGCATGACGTTAGCTTGTCAAGTCGCGTTTATATGCCATTGCAGTTCGTTTGTCGATCAACTTGATCGATTTGTCGTTTATGAAAGGTTCAGGCGTTTCTATGCTAGTTTATAAAATAAATAACGCAGTAAATAAATTAATAATAATTTTATTTTGTTATTATTCTAAAGTATTTTTCTAATATTGTATATTTCCTATATGATACAATATTTTCCTATTCCCTAAAGTTCAGATCATTCACGAAGTTAAAATTATAATATCAATACTTTATTTACTTATATTCTAATAGAGTTATACAAACATTTTTCGTCTAATGTTATATTGAAACGCATTCTCAGCCAAAAAGGCGTAAGCTGCTTGATCGCATCGTCAATGTAATTTTATTGAGCCTTGAAAACAGTAGCGCTAGCACGACAAAGTGCAACTTGTGCGACGGCGACATTAGGCGCTAGATCTCTTTGTGAGACAGTATGTCGCGCTTTATGTCGCGCTCGCGCTAGTCACGCAGTGTCATGCTAGGCCTGCTGGTCTTATACTTATCACCTTCATTTAAATACAGCGATTTCGGATCGCGAGGTAACGAACTAGACTATCGAGTTATGCCAATCGACGCCAAAAAACGTAGTCAAGCACTAGCAAGTTGCTTTATCATAAAGCAACAATGGAGCAGTCAGATTACGGGACAACTTCTGCAGAATTGTAACCTCGGCTACAGTCGCGGCCAATTGGCGCAAGCAAAAGCTGCTGGCCTCGTTACTAGCTTCCTGCATCCATCGCTTTACGAAAACCGGACGAGAGTTTAAACAACTTATCACTAACTTAGCACTATTTATGGCAGCACTTGCAGGAATTCAGAGAGCGGACAACTCGAGTTTATTTGTAATCAAGCAGCTTAAGGTGGGCCGACTGCGGCCGATGACTTCTACGCAATACGATCGACCTCGTGGCAAGACTACAAATTCCTTAATTAAATAATAATACATTGACTACTGCAGTAATAACAAAATTAAATAAGGAGTAAATAGTTGCACTAGAAATCAACATCTTAAAAATTAGATTAAATATATTAATTTAGACAAATTTTTCAAGGGAGCATGTTTTAGTTTGTCACGACCGTTTTAAAATATTTACGTCCTGTTTTAAATTAAATTTTAAAACTTAAAATTCATCAAAACCAAACTTGAATTTTAAAACAATATTAATTTTAAAATAAATAATTTAGCTAAACTAATAATAATTATAAAGCTAATAATAATTTAGCTAAACGTAAAACGAGCTCACCTGAAAAATTTTTCTAAATGACGCTTTCGCCTTTTCTATAAAACACCGACGAAATTTCATTATTAACCTAAATATTATTAATAATAATAAACAATGAAAACAGATTTCACAGCCTGAGGTGGAGCTAGGATACCTAGATTGCATTTATGAAATGCATCTTTATTGCTCAATAATTTTCAAAACATGTTTTTTGAGTGGGTTTTAGACAATGTTCTCGAAATCATTGTATTTTTCAGTAATTTCTGTCAACTTGAACACTTTTTAATCAATTGGTCAATTACTATGTTGACCTAAACTTAATATAAAGATTCATTTACTAGCCAATGCATAAATCATGGAACTATCATCACTACCATCCAGTTCCACCAACTGGTCTGATTATCTTATAAATTTCGTACAAACGGTTTCAAGTTTACGAAAATTAGTTTCTCTTTTGTCAAAGTACACCAAAAAGATATGTTTGCATCATATTGCGCAAGCTGAGCAAAATTAACGTAATCTTGAACGCGTCTGAAGCCGCCATATGCTACAACATGGCGGCGGTTTGAATCCTTAGAGGATGGAATTTGAATCTAGTTTTTCCCGCCACTAACATATTGAGTCCACGACGATCATAGTGGAGTACAAAGAGCAGCCGAGAGTTATCATAGTTCCCATTGCGATGAACGAATGGTAAGCTCGGAATTTTTTCAACACACGGAGGTAGCGGGGACAATGCGCAAGCTCGCCAAGCACTAGGCGACCGACCTGAAACAAAAATAATGAATAATTACAAACAAATACTTGTAAAACTTGCATTTACTCAATTTGTATTATAAAAATAAACCCATTGCGTTTAAAAACCAGTCAGTTGTAGAGAAACGTTTAGAAATTTACCCATTTTAAAAGTATCACTCAACTCAGAATACATAGTTCTGTGACTCACTCATTACGACGTAGCGTTTTTTTTTTAATAATATAACTGACTATAAATATGGGATAAAGTAGATTGTTGGTACGTAAAAGTACTAGATACAAATGTCCGATGACCTTGACATATTGACAATGTCACGGCATAAGTATGTGAGTCGTAACTCGTAACAGATGAAATAATTGAAGCAGATGCGTCAGTTAGAATCACAATACTTTATATCATTATAACAATGTTAATACAATAAATATGTTTTACTCATTCTCTCACTCACATCGATTTCAATATGCGATCTAAATTGAGTGCACCTGTCACAATAGCATCATTGATTATGCAATGAACATTCAGGCAAGTATTGTTTATATAAATTGCTTTGTTCAACAATTATGTGCACAATTATATGTATGTGGTGAGTTACACAATAAATTTAAAGAAATTGCACCATAATTCACGTCTAAATCTTTTAGGTCATTAGAACTGTATTGCATTTGTCGTTTGATATATATTTTGTATTTTGCACTCTTGGAGTGATAAGGCTACGTCCACAAATGACAAAATTTTCAGGAGAGGTGTTGAAAGGGTCTCTTAAAGGATAACTTTTTGTGCTAAAACAGGAGAGATACGTCGGGGATAGGCGTATCCATTATTAGAAAAATGCGCGTATCAGAACTAAACCAATTTTTACAGCAGAGGGATTTAACGTTATTACTTTGTTATTTCAATGGTTACACATTATTTTTTGCACTGTAAGCACTAATTTATGCTGTGTACGGATTGATAATAATACACTTCCATAAATCAGGCTAATTAATTGCCAAGACATTTACGCGGATGTAATGTGGTCGTTAAATTACAGAAATGGAAACTCATAATCCAATGGTAGTTACGTATAACTGCACTATCCCCGAAGATTTGTTTCTTCTAGTTATTTTATAAATGCAATTTTGACTTACGATTACGTGTGGCATTACTATAACAAGAGTTTGATTTACCTGATTCGACGTATCTAATACGTATTTTCTGAAAAAATCGATACCTCACACGTAAGTTGTTGTAAGTCAAAATACGATTAAATTTTTGTTGAATGTCTGAATTTTTCACCAGCGTGATATTCAATTATTTTTTGTGAAATGACTCCATTAGCTTATTGTAATAAAAAAAACTCTTCGATCCTCTCGATCTCAGACGCTATTTCAACAACTAATATGGTTTTCAACGTCTTTTTAATCGTAGCGCCATCTATGAGAAATCTATGAAAGTAATTCGTCATCCAGTTAGGTACCTTTACAGCTACCAGTCATGGCTAGAGATGGCGCTATTAACTGTAATAAAATTTTTATTGAATGTCAAAATGTTTCACTACCATACATTCAATTATTTTTTGTGAAATTATCCACTACTTTGATAAAATTATTAAGTACTATTTGTTGCTTTTTAACTTAAATATATTATACTTCCCATATTTAAAAGTAATGAAATCTCTCAGTGTGTTTACTTTCAAATTGGAATCTATAATGTGCTAACGGGAATAAACGCGTTTACATACGAATACTTATTTGTCACACCTACCTAGTTTCCCGACGTTTCGGCCAGGTTGCACTGGCCGTGGTCACGGCTGCGTTAGCAGGTGTGAAAAATACCTATTCGTATGTAAACGCGTTTATTCCTGTTTCCAAATGTTAGTACAATGCAACGCGAAAGTTTTAAAGTATCTATAATGTACTTATAAAAGGATATAATTATTCAAGTTAAAAAGCAAAAATTGGTATTTTGACTTACAACAACTAACGTGGGAGGTATCAAATATTATTTCTTGTTTCATTCAGAATTGAAATCAATAGTCAACATTGATGTTCTGTCCACGAGTTTTCATTCGTGAACCGACTAACAATGGAATATTAATTAGGTTTTATTACATGTTTGCGGTTTTCCAGAATCTGCAATGCCATAATTTTCGATATTTCTAAAACATTTATGAAACAATACAGTGGTAACAGGTTCATATAAATGCAATTACCATTGTTTTATATAGGAAATTGCGTGGTAATCACCAATATTTTTATGTGTTTGCTTGCATAGATAATGCATTTAAAATGCAAGTTTGTTGTAATTTTATTTCATTATGTAGCAATGAAACTTTATTATCCAGTTTAATGGGAAGTATTAAACGCAAAATGCTTCTTACGTAAACGTTATTAAGGTATGGGCTAAATACGTATTTAGTCCACGCCTACAACTTTTACCACAGCAAATATAAAATATAAGTGCACATTTCTCCTCCATCTCATCGGAAAGTGACGATGAGGTCGACGATGGAGCATGTACACCTAAATAATGCCTATTCAATCTCGCCTTGAAAAGGTCCAAGTTATAACGTCTCGGAATAAGTCTGCAGGCAGGGAACTCCACTCCATAGCCGTTCGCCATATAAACGTGGAATATACACAACTTATATTTCTTAATTTAGAACACCTAAGAAACTGACGTTTCCGTTTTACAATTGGTGCGGATATAAAAAATCAAGAATGTTATCCAATTTTATGTAATTTCGTAAGAAGACTCTACCGAAGACATTTAATTTTTGTAATGGAATCCAGGAAAGAAATTACTCTCAGGCTGTATGACGCATTAGTGCCTTTGCTTTATCCAATGGAAAAAACAGCACTAAAAAAAATAAAAATGAATTGCCACACCAGATTTGACCCCATTAAAGGAAAGCAAGAAAAATAAACTAATAAAAAAAGTTTCTTTTTCTTTTCACTTATCGAACCGAACTTATCGAACTCACCTAGCACAAAAACTTGAATTGCGCTTAATTGTGAACTGTACAAGAGTTGTTGTATTTTACAATACGAAAATGGTGTAGATGTAATGAGATAAAGGTAAAAAATACTCACTTCTTGTCCGCCACCCGCACTCTCCTCCATTTGCGTCTTAATGTGTTTGGCGACTAGCATGGGGTGCACCAGCCCTAGGCGCACGTACGCTTCGATGCTGAACACTGCCAGCAATAGTAATAGCTGGAAACAATAGAAATTACACTGTTAGATAAATTATTCATAACATACGATTGAAAGATCTGGTGGGTGTCGTATTATAAAGTAACTTTGGGATAGAACATGCTATAGCCAGTTTCTTGCTGTTTTGCCATAGACCAACGTCTGTTTAGAACTACTGTCTACTTCGTTATTCAAACGTAGTTTTTAGTAAGTCTAGCACGATAGGGCGCGACATAAAGCGCGAGATACTGCTGTTCTGTCGCTCCCGCGCTGGTCGCGCCATATCGTGCTACTTCTACAGTTGTGTCGTAGCTCATGTTATGCAGAAAATAAAATTAAAACGATATAGTGCAGTATTTATATAGTTTGCTGGTAAATGCGTGTTTATCTTATTGTTGAAGAATATAATAGACGAGAGTTTTGTAAGATTGTAACTAAAAATATGAAAACTATGTTTCAGTTTTTAGGCTTTTACTTTTAATTACTCTTAGATTTTAGAGGGGTGTATACTAAGTGGTCTATGTGTATTAATTCAGGTTTAGGTATTGACTTACAAATAAATGGACGGTTCTAATACAAAAACCACGAAAAAAATATCCCAAGTCAACCTATTTAAACGTAGTGACATGTAAAGGAATATGAAAAAGCTAAAACGTTGAATTTAAATTGTAATGTCATCGCAGTACTGTCTAATTTTGCTTGCTTCGCTGTCAGTCGAACAAACGAAGACTAAAGCGTGAATGACGCTCTGTATACGATTTTAACGCCCTATAAGTTCGGACACTTTTTAGCGCGGACCCGACGTCCATATAATTGTAAGTCAATGGGTTTAGGCAATCCCACTCTTACGCTACCATTTTTCAGTATTTAAAACTACAAAACGTTGATTTAACAAAAATTTGTTACAAAATCTTTTGCAAAAACAAATTTCAACTTAACGGTTTTTGATATGTACGAGGGGTTAAGTCAGATTGCTGCTTTTTTATACATGACAGGCAGACGACACCATTCCATCGGATGTTAAATGGAAAGTGGAATCTGTGGCATCCAAACGTGAATGTACCTAGTGCAGTGTTGATACAATCACTGCCCCAGGCACCTCCACCCTGCGTGCCTACAGGATGCTTCTTCACGCCTCGTTTGAAGGACCCCGTATCGTACGGACGGAATACGTGCGCTTTTAAATTTTTTACTTATTACTAAGATTCGGTGTTTGATTCGATGTGTCAATAAAATTATCGGTTTTTAAAAACTATCTTCTTGATGAACTAGAGGCTTTTGAGATAGGCCAATATCTAGAAAGCGATCTAGATTAAATAATAATAGTGTGACAATACGACACAAGAAATAAATGTTAAGGTTTTAATGCACTTCATACGTTGGCCTTATGTGAAACCTTGCTTCAAGAAGGTTTGATAAGATTAGTGAAATTGCGAAACCTTTTACTTATTTTAGCTGAGTGAAGGTTCGACATTTGAGCTTTGATTTGTTGTATTAAAAAATATGATTTTACACTAGAAGCACAGTTTACAGCTAGAAGTTAATGATTGGATGTAATCAGCTATTGTTATAATTAGAAGTATAAAGTTAGTAGCACTAGAGCACCTTGTGAAAGAGTTCGACCAGAGAAGTACTGCCACCTTACCTATTTCTGCCGCCAAGCAGTAATGTTAGGATTACAGCGTTCCGGTTTTGAAGGGTAAGGGTGCTGGTGAAATTACAGACACATGGGACTTCACAACTTATGTCTCAGGGTGACGGGCGCAGTGGAAGCGCCTCTTTACACCAGGCGCACGACCTGTTCGTGACGTCACTTGGTATTATTTATATAAAAAAAAGACTGGACGAGCAAGTTATGGTCCTGGTAGTAAACGACATGCGTCCATAGCAGTTGCAGTGGCACTCAGAGATTTAAATCGCAGCAAAAATCTGAGGGACACTGTTACCGCGTCCGTCACCATGAGACATTAGTTGACAAGTTTCATACGTACGTAATTTCATATTACTGTTTAGCGGCGGAAATAGGAAAGGTGACATTAGTTCCCTGAAGGAACTCTTCCGCAAGGAGCTACTACTAACTCTTTGGGAGTGATTTTTTTATAATAATAACTTCAGAATTGTCGATTAGTAATCTTAGCTCGTGGATATCTTGCTCGTAGGCGTAAATTTGATATAATTTTCTACCTTTCATTGGATGAAATTATGTAGAAAATGTATATAATTTTCGTTATACCTGTAGATCGTACTGTTAATACAATAGTGTATTAACTAAAAAAGTGTATTTTCTTAGAATCGACAAAAAGCAAATTACTCGCTTCCCGTGAAAGATAATTAAAATGTATAGGTTATAGTTTATTACAGACAATTTCGTAACTTATCGAGTTCTTAGGTTTTCGCGATTGTTACACATAGGAAATGAAACTATTTTTCCGGATTTAAATCGCGTATCCCATGGTCACGGTTGACCGTCAACCGTGACCATGGGACGTGTAAAGGGCCCGAAACGTCGGTTTGTTTGAAAAAACAAATATACGCGGTTTAAATCCGGAAAAATAATTTTGTAACTTGCCAAATATATTTAAAAATAAAAGAGAAAAAACAATTTCCTATTTTTGAATAAGAACTTTTGGCCAGAACTAGCTCACATAAAGCGTGTCGCATTTTGAGATAAGTAGATATCTTTTAGTTGTTTTTTTTTACAATATTTTAACTACGGTTTTATTGAGGTGTAGAAAATCAAATTTTACGTTCAATAATGGTATAGTTAATCTTGAATTTCACATTTTGAGTTATAACACTATTGTAATAGCAGTGCGATATAATAATTTAGGTTAGATACACAACTACACGCCCTTTTCCCATGCGGGTAGGTGAAGACCGCAGCCTCCCACTTTTATACAGTAAACTTAAACCTCGGTTAAGAGCACCTGGCCTCTCTATTCCTAAATTTGGTTGTGATATTTATAATACGATATGAAGTTATAATAAATATTATTATCGAAAACTTCACAATTGATTATTGCACATTACACACGTTCTCGAAGGGATTTCGAAATGTAGTACATTCTATGTATGAACGTTGATCACATGTAGTAAAGTGTGACACGCGTATGACTTTTGCATAACATATTTGAGATAAGAATAAAATACAGAGCAGTATTGCACGAAATGCCGCGTCAGAGTACTACAATGTTTAACAAACATTTGTACTATGTTGTAGCGAAATTTAATGGTACAAAATGTAATTCAATTCCCCGACACATTTTATGGTTTCGATCCATGAACAAAGGCTGGTTTTAGAGCAGTGCAGATTTGTTTGCGGACCGTCCGCGCGGAGCACCAGAGAGGCCACACGTTTGGCCTTAGAACGTCGTTTTAAATTAATTAATTAAACAATTTTTTTTACATCTTAATTACATTATCTTTTTTAAAGATAATTAAACTTAAAATTTATATTTAGTTAGTTTAATTGTAATCATGGTTTATTTACAATAGTACCCGCTTAACGACAGAAAAAGTGCAAAGTTTGCGTTTGTTTTAAGAATAATATTGTAAAGATTTTTTAAAATATTATAACTTAATTAAAATAATTATCCCTGAAGTTTATTATTAATAAAAATTATAGTGGATAGTTTAAAAACCACTGCAATCGACGACACGCAGAATAAAAAATACTACATAATATGTTTTGAAGATGTCAAGATTAAACATGGAATAATAATAACGCACACACTTAACATAACCCCGCTCTAGGGAAACCCTGTATCGCGAGTGCCATGGACACACACATAGACAACCACAAATTACACCCAAACTCAGGAGAGAAATAAATGTAGGCCATACAAATATTTCTCCCGGCCCGGTAACCGTTCGGCTACCGAGGCAGTATGGAATGGCAGAGTGGAATGATCGTATAGTTTAATATATTACCTGGACATATGAACTATGTTTGAACTGGGTTAAACATAGCGTGCGGAAGTATGCTAACAACGCAAGCAGGCTGACGCAGGCGTTGAACGCGTAGTAGACAGGGAACAAAACTGTTTGTACGCGTCCGAACTCGTGCCGAGGCAGGTTGAAGTAAAGCACTATACCTGTGGGACAAGAAGTATTACGTTTATTAAAATAACAAAATTGGTTTCATATCTAAGAAATTATTCACACCCTATACAGAGTTATTTGTAAAGACTAACAACGTCGCAGAACTATACTAGTAACATCATAAATTTCGCTTTAATACACAAATAAAAATATTTAAATAGAACATTCTAAACGATGGTAACTCTGTACAAAACGCTGCAGCACTGGTGGGGGTATAATTATTATTTTTATTAAACGGCCCTTTTAGGTATTAATTTTGTTTAAGAGTCTTATTCCAAAACTCTACTCAATGCTCAAGTCAGGATTTGAGCAGACTTGAGTATGATTTGAAGCACTGGAAATACGACCCTAATAGCAAGGACTTGAGTATGATTTTCAGTGCTCACTGCAATAATCATGTCCTGACTTGAGTATTGAGTAGAGTTCTGGAGTACGACCCTAAGACTTAGTCTGTATTGTATGGATAAACAAGTCAGTTTTAGTTCTACTGGTATGCGATACTGTAATGATGGTGACTTGTAAAGGGCCCGAAACGTTCAACAAATATACGCGATTTAAATCCGGAAAAATAGTTTCATTTCCTACCACACCTAATACCTAACAAAATACAAAGTATAATAATATAACTTGTTACATAATGTAAGTTAAAACTATAATAAGTTCCTACAAAAACGTCAGATACTCAGTGAAAAGAGAGATGGTACGGTAACGTCACTCATGAACTTATAGATCACGTTTTTACAAGTGGATACTCAAATCGACGACGTAAGAGTGTAACATTCGCAATGTTTGTGTACGTCAATGACATACCACGGCGTTACAGTAAGGTCATATCAATCGTCCAACCAGGGTCCCATCCGTCATAATCAATTTGCGAAAGATACAGCGTGCGTACTTAGGAAGATAGCTTCGATATCATACTTGTTAAAATGTCAATCAATATCATTGATAAGAATATTGTGCAAAATAAGAATTATATATGAGAACACAGATAAAGATCTACTGAAGAAGTTTTGTAAGTACGTGCAGAATAGTTTGAACAAATTTTGGTAAGCATAATTTACACATCTATCAGGGCTATCTCTGGTGCCAAAATATACTCAGTGTACTCCGTCTTTTTGTTTTCACTGATATTTTTGATGGTCCGTTAAATATCCAATCCGTAGTTTTACACGTATTGGTGTAGCAATCACAGTTTGACCTCTCGTATTTTTTCTTATACATCCAAACGATCAGTCGCTTGTAAAGTTCATCGACTAAACTTACTCAGGTCGCACACTCATGCAAAAATGTACACACATCACACGCACTCACACATACATCTCACGCACTTAAACATCACACCCACTCTCACATATGTTTTTATTTTTTCTTTCCTTCTTTCTTTTTTATTTTACAATTTGTTTCCATAGACTTATTGACTTAATTCGGGAGGTGGAGGCCTGGTGACCTAAAACACAGGGTATCCTAGTTTAGGCTCCAGCCTCTACAAATTTTCTTATATAAACTACTATTATTTCATTTAAATTGTTACAAATTTGAAGAGGAAATGAAGAATTTACTTACTTACTATTTACTTAGACAACTTCTAAAGAGACGATCTTCTAATTCTTATTGTATCGATGGTATACACTATAACGCTTGCCAGTAAATTAATTTGCCAATCGGCGTAAGGTACCTACTCGCCAATTGTAGCCCAGGGTTCGCACCGTCTGACGGTACAGGAAAATAATGGTAGGAAAAGAAATATGGTGAGAAAGTAGTACTGGTTTAAGTCGAGAACTTGTTCCTTGTTTTGATAATTACGTTTTTTTTGGTGTTGCAAAATTTTATTGCATTATAAAGGTCACAATCAAAGGAGAAATCTTCAATGAACCATTGAGTAATTTAAAACGTGCATGAACATTTTAATCTAAAGTCAATGTGATATTTGTCACTTCACTCGTCATTGGAACACAGTCCAACGACAGCAAAGTATTTGTTTGCGCGACGATCAAAGGTGTGATATGATAACATAAACTTTTAAGTGGATAGGGCAAAGTTCCAAACGGAATGGAAAAAATGCACGTGATCCTATATCTACGCATGTGATAGAGTTCGTTCAACGGGAAGAACAAGCTACACGCCTGTCCTTAACAGTTGCATTGCCACTCAGAGCTTTAAATCGCAAAAATCTGAAGAGTAGTGACACTGCGCCCATCACCCTGAGACATAAGTTGACAAGTCCCATATGCCTGTTTGCCTTATGCCTGTGATTAAGCTCCGCTGCATACGCAGTCCGCAGAATACGTGAGCTTACCGATGTTAGTACTGCTAGACTAGTTTACTTTAGTTACTTCCATAGTATAATGTCCTACGGGATTCTCATGTGGGGTAAAGCGGCAGATATTCAAACCATATTTCAAAAACGAGCGATTCGTTCTGTGTACCGTCTAGGTTCTCGGGTTTCTCTCAGAGAAAAGTTTAAGGAGACTGGTATCATGACTGTGGCATCACAGTACATTTACTCAAATATTTTATATGCCCGTAAAAATATACATAATTTCAATAAGAAAGAAGATATCCATAACATTAACCTTAGAGCTAAGTCCAAACTCATGGTACCACGATTTCGTTTAACCAAGGTAAACAACTCTTTTATGGGGAATTGTATACGTTCTTACAATAAGATTCCGGAGCATATATTAAGTTTATCATTTCGTAAGTTTAAAAACTACATTAAAAATATTTTGATCGAAAAATCATATTACAAAATTGAAGACCACGTGTTAGATAAAGATGTATGGAAAGACGACACGGCTCCAGAATCCACACAAATTTGATTCAAAGTGTATTCCATAGCATTTAAGTTTATTTGAAAAGAGCAATCCCTAGAGTTTCTAGCTTGTTCTTCTCAGGGAGGTCAGCGTAGTGAACGAGCAGTAGCTTAAATGTGACGTTTTCAAGTGTAAATTTATTTTACCTATGGAATAAATAATCTTTGACTTTGACTTTGACTTAACTGTAATTTCACCACACTGGCGAGCCGTGAAAATTGTCGTTAGTGAAGCCGGAGCAAAAAAAAAAAAACCTAGGTCTTAACAAAAATTGGCGCCTGGGTGACATTTAAATGAATAATTAGAACACAAGGTACTAATACACTTCATTTCACTGGTTAAGTTATTCTATACATAAAATTGAGAACAATATGTAGTGAATTACTACTAAAATGTGGAAAATGTTTCACCAGCAACTTTACCCTTCAAAACCGGAACGCAGTAATGCGCACATTACCGCTTGGCGGCAGAAATAGGTAAGTTGGCAGTATTTCTCTGGACGAACCCTTTCACAAGGAGTTCTACTGCTGCGTTAAAACAGTCTTGGCTTTATCAATGACTAACATAATTACGCATAAATGCGCTATTTACTGTAAACAACTGCATATTGAATTCAAATCTGTGTGACGAGTCCGTCTGAAATATTGACGTCTCGTCTTCTTTGGTCAGAGATTTTGTTATGACTCCCTCATCTTTTTTTATCCCAAGCAATTCGGTCTGGTTTGAATCTGGTCTGTCAACCTAGTCGGTTGGTTTTTGTGGCAGTCGATCCGCTGGTTATCTATGGAGTCGGATGCTTGTCATCTATGTGACAAAAGGTATAATACCAAGAGACGGGACGAACAAGTCGTGCGCCTGGTGGTAAGCGACACGCCTGTCCATAACAATTGCAGTGACACTTTAAATCACAAAGATGTGAGGGGCACTGCCACTTCGCCCGGTCACCCTGTTATATGTTCACAAGTTCCATATGCCTGTAATTTCGCCAGCACCCTTACACTTCAAAACCGGAACACAGTAATGCTGACATTACTGCTTGGCGGCAGAAATGAAACTCCACTATTATGTAGTTTCATTTCCTATGAATATAAATAACCTAACGCTAATTTTAAAAGTGACCAATATTACTTATTGTTTTATAAGTGGTAGTGGTATATTTGATAGCTACAAAAGCTTTGAAACATTATATTCCAATAAATCTATCCCATAAAAGAAATTCTCATGATCTTTTAATTTGCTATCACGCCAAGACGTACTTGTACGTTGTAGTGAATGCGAAAACAATTCACAGAATCACGTCACCCGAGGCGTTCGTCTTTAAACAACCTTCGCCCTAAATCAGTTAAAAAATCCCGAACATAATTTGTTCGTTCAAATAAGTTACATCGACTGCAAAATTAAATTGTCATGGCTTGCATTACAAATTAACTGCACGGTATAAAAAATTTGAAAGGTCGTTAACTCTACCGAGATGTGGTTTAAGGGGTGGTACTTTCGTAGTAATTAATTATGATACAGTAAATCAATTATGTTGAAGTTCCAGTGATGTTTTCGCTTGGGAAGGCTTAATTAATTGCTGTTTTATGTTATAATGCCTGATTTAGTGCAAAAAACAGATATATGTTATAGTAATATACCAAAAACTGGACATGTTTTTCACAATATTTTATTTTTGATTGAATTATCGCAAATTCGTAAGACCTGCTGGTGCGATCATGTATCACATTGAGGCAACAGTCGCTGGTTAGAATCCAGTCGGGCCAAAGGAATCTTACTTTGTATTTGTTCGGTCTTTGTATTAAAAGATTTAAACATTATAAGCATTTTATTAATCAGGTTTTTAATAATTAATTTAGGAGAAGTCTTACAATTGATTTTTCACGAATAGGTTTAATGGAAGTGGATATTGGCATATATTTAAAGATCTCTCTTCAAATTTAGCAACATTAATTAATGATCAACTTACCAGAAACTAGAGTCATCCAAATTTGAGCACCAAGATGAGTTGCTACAGCTCCTACATAGAGGGCTTTCCAGCCTCGAAGGTTTCCAGTGGAGCCAGGACGGTTCAACCACGCCAGCAGCACAATGACGGCCAGCGCCAAATGGAAAGGTTGCGATGTGCGCGTTAATACTCTGTGGGCGAAGAAAAATATTGGTTGTAATAAATAACATGACTATTGTTTTAAAATATAAGTATTACTGCGTTCCGGTTTTGAAAGGTCAACGAGTCAACTTATGTCTCAGAGTGCAGAGGCAGTGCTCCTCGGATCTTTGGGGAGCTTTGAATGCAACTGACATAGACAGGCAGGTCGCTTACCATCAGCCACACGTCTTGTTCATCCCGTTACTTGGTATTGTAAAAAAAATACATTTTGAACCTTATTTATACAATTCCAAACATAAGTTTACATATTGTGCTTCCATATTTATTTCGGCATTGTGTTTCAAAGTATACGATACGTAAATTCGTGGTGACAAGGTTGATAATGTGCGAATTGAAAGATTGAATAAATAAGAATAATAAAGTCAAGCAAACAAAAATTGTAAACAATGTTATACGTAGGATAGTGTTAATTTGTATAACAAATTTGTGTCGTATTTGATTACGTCAATTTGTAAAGCAAAAATATATGTGGCTATTCTTATACTGCGAAGTGGCAAAAAACAATATGACAATCAAACATTTTTATAACATCGCAATAAATAGATCATATCATTTAATCCTACATTTGTTTACTTCTAACGTCGATGGATATTAGATAACTTTATTAAATGATAAAAAACTGTTTTTAACAATATCAACGTAAAAATATTTTACGAAGAAATAAAAACAATTGATTATGTAACATGCAGTGACACACATTTTTTTTGGTAGAACTTGGCCTAAGCAAAAATTTACAGCTGCGTTGAATAAAAATGTAAATTGGTGGTATTGGAAACTGGAACTTGGCGAACAGTTGACGATAAAATAATTTGCACGCGTAAGGGCTTATTGTAATTTAATAAATTGATATTATGTGACGTTTTAAATCACACCCACTACTCTATCACGCGGTTCCGCCGCAGTGTCACGCTGTTGTTTATTTTTATCATGATAGACTGATTTACAAATTAGAGATCAATTGTCAGGAAAATTTTGTGTTTTAATGTCTTTAGTAGCAGAATTCTTTGAGAAAGAGGTCGTTCACGGAAGTACTGTCACTTTTCCTATTTGTGCCGCCAAGCAGTACTGTGAACATTACTGCGTTTCGGTTTTGAAGGGTAAGAGGTTGCTAGTGAAACTTCGGGCACATGGCACTTTTCAACTTATGTCTCAGGGTGACAGGCGTAGTGGCAGTGCGCCTCAGATCTTTGCGAAGTAAAGCTCTAAGCGACACTACAACTGTAATGAACAGGCGTGACGCTAAACCACCGAGTGCAGGAGTTCTTCGTCCCGTCTCTTGGTATCATAAAAGAAATGTATGAAAGATGAGGTAACTTAGCATCATCGTCATTTACATCCATGATCTTCGACCACAAGGGAGCATTTGCAAGTTCTCAAAGAACATGTACATTAGAGCTTATCAGTGAGTTACGCTGGGTTTATATCTTCAGATTTTTTTTTTAACGAAAAAGTTTTATTTTTTTCAAATTTTCCAGCGCTTATCTTGAGGGGATAACCCCAGGTTAGGTTTAAAAGAAAAAACATTTTCCTCTCAAAATTACTTTCAAGGTTATGAAAATTCGAGCAAATTCGTTATTTCTGTAAAATTTTTTTTTTTAATAACACACACACTCAACATAGCCCCGCACTAGGGAAACCCTGTGTCGCGGGTGCCATGGACACACATATAGACAACCACAAATTACACCCAAACTCACGAGAGAAACAAATGTAGGTCATACAAATATTTCTCCCGGCCCGGGAATCGAACCTGGGACCTCCTGGAACCTGTGTGGCAGTCCGGCATGGTAACCGTTTGGCCACAGAGGCAGTTAAATGTCATTTCGGAATTCTGATAGGTAACCCTTCAGGGGCTCTCCTTGGAGAACATACAGAAGTAAAAAATGTACACGTTGATATAGAACGGTGATTATGTAGTATTGAGAGCATTGACACGACTAAAGATAGAGCTAATTCCAGGTGGTGCAATTGTGGCATTGGCGAGTCGCCATCAAACCAAATATATCTTTTGACGAATGGTATTTTCTTTTATTTTCAATTGCATTTTCATGATTCATTGCTTTATTGGTCTTGGAGAGCGGGAGTTATTTTGGTAAGAAAATGATTGGTTTTTTGTGGAGATTATATACAAATACAAATATCTTTTATTGCCATAATGAGACTTTTTGACATAAATAACATGTTAAGCCGAAACATAAACAATCAATAAACGGTACTAGAGGGCAAAAGGAGGTGTCTCAGTTTGTGTGGCCTGGAATCGGTGTTATCGCAAACAACGCCGTTTATTTCAGCCTCTTCCTTGTCCTTAAGATCTCAGGCGGGCTTAAAAGCAACGAGGGCCTAAAAACAATTATAAAATTTTGAAAACCATTATTCTATATAGAAGATAAACTAATTTTAACGTAAAAATAATAAAAAATAAGTAAAAAAAAATATCACTGTCATATGGAAGGGAAAACGCTAAACGTTATGCAAAACCATTTCTGGGGTTTTTCATTTGCAGTCTTTACACGATGCCAAAAGCTGAAAAGTAAAAGCGTGAACTCAGGTTGCATAAAAGTGACGAAGTAAAAACAATTTTGAAATTCAAGTTGCAAATAAATAAACTCGCAAAACTAAAAGGTTCTAAAAGGTTCGGTGGCTCCTTTCTCTGCCGCA